CTTTCAATTTAGCCAGATAGCTGTCTCCCAAATTTCTTGGCATAGATGAGTGAGAATTTTCAGTGGTGCATTGGCTTGTTGAAATATTTCAATTTGTGTTCTGTCAATTCCTGGAGCCTTGTTTTTTTCCCAATGTCTTTAGTGTAGTTCTTAATTATATGTTGCCTTATATCCAGGATAAGAGAAGAACTCTTTTATTACAAAAAATAAAACAAAGATAACTGGATTTTAAAATCTGACAAAAGATTTAAATAGTTTACCAACGATGATATAAAATGAAAAGTGTACATAAAAATATGTCCAACATCATTTGTTATTAAGGTGATATAAAACCACAATGAGATATATACTCATTGTTGTTGTGTGTCATGAGTGGGTTCTGACTCCTGGAGACCCTGTATAGAGTTTCCGAGGCTGTACATCTTTATGGGAGCATAAAGCTTCATCTTTCTTCCACAGACTGTCTGGTGGATTTGAACTGTTGACTTTCAGTTAACAGCCCAACATGTAATACATTACAGCATCTGGGTTCCCTATTTTGTTGTTAAATGCCATTGAGTCAGTTTCAACTCATAGCCCTGTATAGGGTTTCCAAGGAGTGGCTAGTGAGTTTGAACTGCTGACCTTGTAGTTCAAACAAAATTTGAGTCCAGCGCTTTATCCTACAGCACCACACCTTGATGCCTATACACCCATAGTTGTCGTTAAGTGCTGTCATGTCGGTTCTGAATCATAGTGACCCTGTATAGTATTTCTGAGGAGTGACTGGTGAGTTTGAACTGCTGACCTTGCAATTCAAAGACTTTGGGGTCCAGTGCATTATCCCACAGCACCACACCAGTACATCATACACTCATTAGAATGGCTAATAGTAAAAAGACTGAAATATCAAATGTTGCTGAGGGTAGGGACTAGTGGAACGCGGCTACATAACTAAGGGATTTTTTTTTTTTAAAGTAGTTTGACAGTTCCTAACGAAGTTAAACATATATTTAGCGTACGCCTCAGCAATAGTATGCCATGCTGTTTCCAGTAGAAATGAAAACTTATGTCTGCACAAAAGCCTGTTTACAAATGCAGCAGCTTTGTTCATATTAGTCCTAAAGTGGAACAATGTTTATCTAACTGTGCAATAGCCATATAATGGGAAATTATTCAGTAATAATAATGAACTAATGATAAACTCTATAATATGGGTGAGTCACACAAGCTATATGTTGAGTCAAAGTATAAGATTAAAACGACTACATGGGAGAAATTTTGAAGGTTTGAAAGAATTAAATAGCACAAAAGATCACACATTGTGCAATTCCATTGATATAAAATACCCAGATTAGATACATCTAAAGAGACAGAAAGGAGATTGGTGGTTTTCAGGGAGTGAGGGTCAGGAGATGGAAGTGTTTGAAATTACAAAGATTGAGCAATGTTGTGAATGTAATAAATACCACTTTGAAATAGTTAATTTTGTATTATGTTAATTTCACTTTTAAAAACAGTCAGATAGAACAGTGAATATTTGAATATCACAGAGAAGTATCAGGTTACATGACCACCTTTGTCCTCAAGAAGCCTCTGTAACTATGTGGATATTAACCAGTGTAATGATAGTTAACTAGAGATTTTCTTAGAGTGGGGGCTTTTGTAGAGTGGTTCCTCAAACTCAGTTGTGTTTTTCTTAAAGTAGTCTATGTGATCATGTAATGTTTGGGTGCATCAGCAACTAATTTTACAATCTAGATATTTATAATTTACATCACCCTCAAGTGGCTTCTATATTCCCAACACAGAATCAGTGGAGAACATTAGTGGTCCATCTGGGAAATAGTATAAACTAGTGTGGAATGTGGTAGTAGATTTCATGATCAACCCATAAGTACTACAATGTTAGTGAACAGTAAAGATTCCTGGAGTGGAAGTAGTCAGGGGTTTCCAGATCTTTGTGAGTGGATATCTATGTTAAGATCTTTCTAGTCCTAGTCTGTACACACTCTCCTGACTATCTGCTGTAACTAGATTCCTCTTCCCCAGTCACTCTATTATATCACATCATCTCTTAGAGTCCCCTCACCTTTGGTCATTATTGAAACTACCCTGCTCACTCATTTTTTACAGTTTTTTTTTTTTTATTTTCTGCCCTTTTCTTGCTCCAGAATTGACGTTCTTTGAGGGCAGTTCTATCTTGTGCCTCTTAATCACGGCTATATTGCTCAGAATCCAGACTGAATAAGTATGGTGAAATAAAATACAACCATGGTACACACCTTTCCTGATTTTAAATCGTTCAGTCAGTGGGTAGCTTTAGATACGTTCACTCAGTATTATTCTTGTCTTATTAATGGGTATCTTCAAAAAGAGGATACTTTTTTGCCATGGGAAAAACTGAGTTTTTAAACTTTTTATTGTGAATTGAGTGAAGGTTTGCAGAGCAGACCATTAGTTTTATATTCAACAATTCATACACTTCATTTTATCCCAATGACTGCAATCCTCTCATTATAACATCAGTTATTTCACTTTCCTTGTGTTTCTTAGTTCTTTCCCAACCCTTCTGAATTTTTCCTGAGGCAAATGCTGCCTTCGATTTCAAATGGTTGACCATTCAATGGTGTATGTATCATAGGTATGTTTTTACTCCCCCTATATTCCTGTTGCTTGGCTGAAAAATTAGCCATAGGGGTGAGCTCAGTTCCAGACCTGAAGGGTGACTGAGGGCAATTCTCAGGGTTCTACCATTCTCTATCTGACCAGTAAACTTGCTTTTGTTTTTGTTATTTTTAATCATTTTGAGTTTTGTCCTACATTTTCTTCTACCTGTCCAGGCCCTTCTAATGTGACCTCTTTCAGAGCATTTGGTAGTGGTGGCCAGGTTCCATGTAGTTAGTTCTTCTTGTCTTTGAGTCATGCAGAATGATGACCATGTGTTCCAGTTGGCCATAGAAAATCTTTTCCAAGTCTACCATTTTTATCACCCATCTTTCCTCTGGACAGGGAGAGAACAATTGATGCACCTTACGTGGCCACTTATGAGCTGAAAAGAATGATTTTGAGGTCAGAGCTAATATCAAAATTTCTACCACACTCAAGTGGACATCTTTTCAAATCATTGAAGTTTTACAACACATTTATGGGGTATGTTGTCCCACATAAAACAACATTTTTAAGATGACTCAAGCAGTTTAAGTAAGGTTGAAGACACCTCAAAGATGAGCAAAACAGAAGATTATGGCAACTGCTTTTTGGCATTCCAAAGGGGTAGTCCTGTGTGACACTGTAGGATAAGTACTGGACTGCAAGACTGGTTTGAACTGCTAGGTCTGTGGTTCAAACTCACCAGCCGCTCCTCAGAAACCTATTCAGGGTTGCTTTGAGTCAGAATCAATCAACAGCACTTAACAACAACAACAACCTTGATAGATTTTCCCACAGGACATAGGACAATCATGGAGAATTATTATGGAGTAGTTTTAAGAAAACTGAAAATTCAGTTGGTGAGGAAAAGTCCAGAGAAGTTGTACTGAGGAATTTTTTCTACTATGACAATGCACCTACTCAATTTTAGAAGTTAGCAAAGTCTGTCCTAGAAGTATTTTGTTGGGAAATCTTATTCCATCCACCCAACAGTCCTGATCTTGCCCCTTCAGACTTCTTTTTATTTCCCAAACTCAGAACATTGCAAAGGAATATGGCTTGTGACCCTGGAGGATGCTAAAACTGCCATTTTATCATGGTAGAAATCAAAAAGCACAACTTTCTTTGGGGAAGGGTTAGAGAGATAAAACACTCTTCATAAAGAAGTGTATACATCTAGATGAAGGAGATGGTGAGAAACAATAGCTTACATTTTGATTTTTTTGTTGTTGTTTAATAAAGGTTCTATGATTTTGTAGTAATGCTTTTTGATTTATCATCATATCAGAATTCATTTGAAACAAACAATTAAATTTGAGTAAATTAAATAGAAGGAAATTTAAAAGAGATTATGGAAATTAAGCAAAAATTAATTGATAAGAAACAATGTCCTCATCTGTTTAAACCTATATAAATGACATATAATCAATATAAATTGTTTAAAACAATGCCTATCAAGATCTCAAACTGTACCAATGACCAATAATAATTTGGAGGGAAACTAACTCATTTTGGCAATAGCATAAAACAGATCTATCTCTTCCTTGCTTCTACCACGTCAATAAATCCCTCTTCTTTTTTTTAAAAAAATATTTTTCTCAATTCAGTCTCCTGCAGCATGCTTCCGCAGCCTCCCATTTCCCTAGTGAATACAGAGATGTTGGGAGTTAGATCCAAAATCCTAACCCTGGAGTCTTCCTTCTTTTTTCCATGCCTTAATTAAGTCCTAGAAGTTTTAGAAAAATTGCAGCCCTGTTTGGAAAAATTACATTTCCCCACAATATCTAACTGCACAGGCTTATTTATTCAAGGGGGAAATTTCAAATGGCACTTCAACGTTTTTCACAGAATCTTTCTATGTGTTTGAAACCAATGAGTCTAGGTACAAAAGTATCCTTTTGTTTTCTTAAGACTTTTTTTTTTTAGCGATAATTTGCCATCCCATCATCTTAACTGGTTTTAATTTATTATTTGTCTGCTGGCTCCCTCCAAGATTAAAGAGATCAAGATGCAGCTAAGGTCCATAAACTGGCCACATATTAAGCAAGCATTGTCTTAGTGCATGTTTCTAAAGCAGCTTGTTAATTTCAAAGGTCAAACAGATAATGATTAAATGGAACATCACTTAAAGGTAGATTTTGACCTCTCACAAGTTGAAGAGAATTGAAAATCTCAGATCTTTCACACTCCTCAGAGGAATTGGAGGGGTAGGGGGAATAGTCTTCTGGAACAAATAAAGAAGTGAAAAGTTACTGAATACTCCACAGGACAAAGTACATTTGCCTGATTTGCTGTTCTTCAATCTCCTACACAATCTGTTGAAGTCACCTCCTGACCAGAAAATCTAAGAGGGCTGGCTGGTGAGGAACATGCCCTCGCAGTTTCTCTGGAGTTTGGTTATTTTTCTGACATTTTCTGAGTTAGATGGTGAAACTGGAGGACCTGAGCTGCAGAGACACAAAAGAAACACTGATGTCCAACAGTAAGTAGATATATATCATTTCTGTGATGGACTAACAACAACAGTAATGAAGCTATTGCTGTTGAATGGATTCTGTGTCCTAGTGACCTTGTAGGACAGAATAGAATTGCTTCATAGGCTTTCCAAAGCTATAATTTTCATGGAAGTCAGCTGCTACTGGCTGGTGGGTTCGAACTGCTGACATTTCCATTAGCATCCAAGAGCTTAAATATGAGGTTTCACAAATTGTTAAGCAAAGAGGTAATTTTTCTTGAGGAAAACAAAAATGTTTTTATAAAAGTAAATAGGGAAAAATGTTTGGAGTCCTATAATACCTTGTTATACAGATATTTATTATTTTGCAAGGAAGTCAAATATGCAATTAGTAGGAGGTGTCTCTAGAAACTGCAGAGAAGAAAATGGTAGGTGAGCTGGGAGACTTTAGTTGAGTTCTCTAGCTATTCAGTGAGAAACTTTATTTTAGGTTTTAAAAACATCTATGCTAATTACTGATGCGTTCTTGTGTTTAAATTATATAGACCTCGGATTGCTACTGAGAGCGGCAATTTAGTGTTTCTTACTGGTTCTGCCCAAAACATCGAATTTAGACCTGGATCCCTTGGAAAAATAAAGTTAAATGATGAAGACCTCAGTGAATGTTTACATCAGGTAACAAATGAAATCAATTCATACCACCATATGTGACATGATTAAAGAGGTCTATATGAAGCTGGATCTTGAACTTTATAATGTGGAGATGAGATTAGTCAGTTTTAAAGGTCAGTGACCTAGGGTTTAAGGTGAGTTGAGGAATTAACCCTAGTAGAAAGTGGCTGATTGTACAGGGACATGTACCCAAGTCCAGAGAAGGTACAGAGAGTAGAATTGGAATTTCTCTGTCAGGGGAATTTGTAGATGTGCACAGTGCAGTTTATTGTGTGTGTTCTAGAGTGGAACTGATTAGTTGTTCTCCTGCCTTACTGTTGTTGGGTGCCAGTGAGCCAATTATGATGCATAGTGACTCTACAGGGCAGACTAGAACTGATCCCTAGGGTTTCCTAGGCTGTCATCTTGATAGGATTACATCAAGGAGTCCTGGTGTGGTGTTGTGGATTAATGCGCCAGACTGTAGAGTCAGTTTGAACTGCAAGGTTGGTGGTTCAAACTTACCAGTTGCTCCTTGAAAACCCTCTAGAGGGTCTCTATGGGTCGGAACCAACTCGACAGCACATAACAACAACAATCTTGATGGGAGGTCTTTTCTCTTATAGAGCCGCTGATGGGTTCCAGCTGTTGTTGGTGGCTTCCAACTGCTGCTGACCTTTTGGTTAGCAGCTGAGCACTTAACCACTGCGCCACCAGAAATCCCTGACTGAATGTCTTCAGTACCTTAGTACTTAATATCCCAGTACTTCAGTGTTTTGTTGTTGTTAAGTGCCTTCGAGTCGGTTCCGACCTATAGCGACCCTGTACAGGGTTTCCGAGGGTGTAAATCCTTACGGGAGTAGAAAGCCTCATCTTTCTCCCGCGGAGCAGCTGGTAGTTTCGAACTGCTGATCTTATGGTTCGCAGCCCGATTCGTAACCACTACGCTACCAGAGTGTTTTAGTACTTAAAATTTTAAATTAAATATTAAATTGTTATTTAATATTTTAGTACCTAATATTTTCAGTAATTCAGTACTTAAAAGCATTATTTAGAGCTTAGGCCATGCACCATGATAACCACTTTACAAACATGATTTCATTTGACCCTTTGAGGTAGTTTCATATTATTCCCCTTAAAAGGGAGAAAAAAGAACTCTGCAGCAGTTAAATGACTTGCCTAAGGACACCCAATAAATGGCTAAGCCAAGATTTATAACCCAAACAGTCTGACTCAAAGACTGGCTTCTTAACAAGTAACCTGAACTGTTATAGGAGACATCATACATGCTACGTTGCTACTAAAAAGTGTTGAGTCAAATTATGTCATGGCTGTTTTTTTCTGATTTGTATTATACATGGTAGTATTTTGACTTTTATAATAACAGATGAGATCTAAGTGCTTAAAATAGAATAGTACTAGAGGTTTTTTTATGTTGTTGTTAAACCCCTTTCCTATAATATGTGCTCTTTTTCACCAGCATTTTCCTTTCCTTTTTTCAAAATTAGATCCAGAGAAACAAAGATGATATTATAGATTTAAAAAAGGGTACAGTGCCTCAAAATATATCTAGTCAAATCCTTCAGCTTAACGCTAAGGTAAGTCACACTCGCATCATTAGAGGGAATGGCTTAGTCTTAATTCACTGTTGTAAGCGATTACTCATTTTTCAGGGACTATACTAACTAGCTTTGTATCCTATTTAGAAATGTAAGTGGTATTGTAATTATGGACTTTTTGGTTAAATGACACTGCTCTACTGGAAAGGGTGAGACTGCTAATGGGGTGAGGATTGGAAAAGCTGTGTGAAGACTTTTTGTGTAGGTAGATTTGGCGCCAACCTTCATTGCAAGTTTCTCATTGGCAAAGTGGATACACCGAAGTCATTGATAAAAATTCTCAGAGAAGCAAAGAATCAGTTTAATCAGTGGTTGTACTTCTTTTTTTAAATTAGCACTTGGTTAAACCTATAATATGGAGGGGAGTGAAAAGAAAGGGGAACCTGGAGGGAAGAAGAGTAGAGAGGGAAATGCAATAAAAGAAGGAACAGGCAGAACATGAGTCACTCGCAGAGGGTGTTAGGAAAATCTGTCAATGTTATAATGTCATATAGGAAATGCCTTTGAACTAACTAACTCATGCTTCCCCCCCACTGCAAGCTTGTGGATCTTGAGAGAAAATTTCAAAGCTTACAGCAGGTAAGTCCCCTAACAAATTTCACTAAAAATACATTGGAATGGCTGATAGACCTTATTTAAAGGATGGATGGATGGATGGATGGATGGATGGATGGATGGATGGATGGATAATCAACAATAAGAACTTTGATTGCTTTCCTCCATGATTTAATTCTCATCATAATACAGGATATAGATGATGAAACTGATTCTCAAAGTAATGAAGCGACCAGCCCAAGGTCTCTTGACCTTGAGGTTGGCAGTCCATATGCGTCTCTGCTTACAATGTGACCCTTTAACTGTGTTACAGTGGGCTCTGGTAAGGCCAGCTAGTGTCCATGCTCAATGTGCTGATTGTGGCATCAGGTGTAAGTTTTGAAAGGCTATGCTTCTGCTGAAACACTAAACTCAGAGGCCAGGGGCGTAACAAAATATTTCAAAATTCCTAAAAACATTTACTAATAATTAAATTTGAATATTTTCTTAGAGCAAATGCTCCATAATTTTATTGCATGCTATAAATCGCTGTTGTTAAGTGCTGTTAAGTTGACTCTGACTCATAGTGACTATGTATAGGGTTTCCAAGAAGCAGCTAATGATTTTGAACCACCCACCATGCAGTTCAAATCACCTTTGCAGTCCAGTGCATACCTGCAGTGCCACACCAGGACTCCATGCTATAAATTAAATCTATCTAATTTTAGGCTCAATACCCCTTTTCTAGGTAGAGACCCTCTTTTAAGTCTTTCATGGAAACCGAGATCTTCCTCTCACAGAAATGAACAGAACATCCCCATATTTAAAATTCCAAATGAAAGTCCAGTGAATTGAAGTTAAGAACCCTTGCTCTAAGAATCTTAATCTGTTTTGATTATACTTTAAATGTTGTCCTCCACTTTCGATGTTTTAAATTTGGTAAACAAGTTCATGATTTCCTTTTCTTAACTTTGGTAATAAATTACCCTTTCAGCCTTCAAAATTTTGGGAGAGTAGCTGAGTGAAAGAAAATGAGCAAGAAATAAAATCTGGGGAGCAAGACACAGAACTAGAATTTTTAATCTCCGGAAGTGTTTGATTATTTCTGCCACAGGTCAAGAACTGGAGGCCATGACCAAGAGTAGCCCATGGATTGTTTCCTTTCCCCAGAATTTTAAACTCCCAGAAAGAGTTTAAAATTGTTTTTGAATGTGAAAGTTTTATGCCTTTGGATTGAACAAGTGTACTCGGAGATCCACAATCCCTAATGTCTTTCTCCTCACTGTTTTATACAGCATAGCAGCAACAAATTTAAATGAATATTTGGTTAACTTCCCTAATAGTTAACAAAAGTTCTTAATTGTGGTGTGGATACAAAGATAGACAAACAGAATATTGGAACAAAAAAGGAATCTATAGGGAACCTAGATCCAGAGAAGTGGAGGAAGGTAGAATCTCCACTGAGTGGTAACCAATCTGTCTAGGTGGAGCTGATGAAAGGAAATGCAGATAGGTCTCCTGTGATACAATAGTGAATAATTGTTATCAGGACTAATTGTGAGGGTTGGAAATGTAAAGGTAGACGTTTTATAGCAAGGAGGGGAGTGATTAACTTTACAGTCTAGGATCGGAGATGGTCCCAAGGACCATCAAGGGAGAAGAGCAGAGAGAAGGGACCCTACCTAACCAGAGAAGCAGTGGGGCGGGGTGTGTGTGGGGGGGGGCTGCAGGGTTGTTTGATGATGCATGGAGGGGATTGTAACCATGGCAATGAAATGAAATGATATACAATAGGATGAATGTAAAACTAATGTTCTCCCATGTAAACTATCACATAATTCACAATAAAACATTAAAAAAAGGAATCCATAAACAGGCCATTGCATGTATGGTCACCTGAATTATGACAAAGATGACACTATCACACAGTAGAGAAAGGATTGGTTTTTCAGTCAGTGGTGTTGGGTTTCAGTTGATTGTCCTCTGATTTGTAGTTTTTTTTAAACCAAAGGAACAGACTAGATTTCTTTGTGAACTCAATTTTTGCTAAATATTGTAAACATATAAGTAATGTTTTTACAATGAAAAAACCCTTAAAAACAGAGTTAGACTATGATTAGGCAAACTGAATAGAATACATACATAATCAGTTGTGCTCTCTAAAGGAACGTTTTCTGCTCCCAGAGGCATTAAAATCTTACAAGATTAGAACTGGTAGTAGACAGATGGTTAGATTCTTCAGCCTGTGTAGACAAAGGCAGTTCTGTGTGTGACTGATCTGAAAGCAGTCATGTGAGCCCAGAGTAGGGAGTTTATCAAAACCCCCACATTTCAAACAAAGGAACTTGGAGTGAAAAGCGTTCAGTCATGTTAACTTATAAGAGGAGGGGTAGGTGTGAAATATGATACAATTTTAAATGCTTATCCGGAGGTAACAAAGATAAGCATAGTAGAGAAGAGAACTGGAATTTCATTTTTTTTACTTTGAGAAATAAGAACAACTTTTATTATCCCTGTACCTGAAACCTTTACTCTGATCCATTAATGTATACTTCTTAGTTGAAAAAACAATTTTTTTCCCAAAGAGTAGAATGAGAATCTTTTCCCCTGACCCAAATAGATAAACATTTGTTAAGCACTTGACTAAGGGGTTCTGATAGCGTCATGGTTATGAGTTGGGTTGCTAACCTCAAGGTTAGCAGTTCGAAACTACCAGCTATTCCATGGGAGAAAGATGAGGCTTTCTGCTCCTATAAGGATTTAGCCTTGGAAACCTTATGTGGGGTCGCTATGAATCAGAACCAACTCCATAGCTCACCACCATGACCACCAAGCACTTGACTATCAGTGTAAAGGTTGGTGGTGCAAACTCATCCAGAGGCGCCTTAGGAAACAGGCCAAGTGATCTGCTTCCAATAGGTCAGAGCCTTGTAAGCTATAGGGAGCAGGTCTATTGTGCCCTCAAGGGTCTGCCATGAGTTGGAACTGGTCATGTTTTAAGACTCCACATATCTTATTTCCTTGCTCATTTTCTTCCACTCAAATATCCCCCTAAAAAATTTAAGACTGAGGGTTCAATGGAAACTAGCAACAGCAACAGTTTGAAACACTTTTTATTTTCACCCCGAGAGCTGATTTGAAGAATATAAAATTATTGCTTTAAAGTTTGGAGGAAGACCTCTGATTTTCTAGGAGTAGAATGTAATCTTCATAAGCATCTGCACCTGAAGATGCTTTTAACTGCTACTGACTGTAGGTACAATTGTCTTACAACGGTTCTGGTCCTGTCTTTGTTTTAGACAGTTGACAAAAGAGTGTGCAGCAGCAATCCCTGCCAAAACGGTGGAACCTGCCTCAACCTGCACGATTCCTTTTTTTGTATATGCCCATCACAGTGGAAGGTGAGTCACTGGGTCTTGGGCTAAAAATGACGAAGATTCAGCAGCTGTGATTTCCTTGGAGTCATTCGGACATATTTAATTCTCCATCTGAAGTTTTTCGGATTCTGTGGCCTCCCTAATCAAATTTAATTACACCCTGTATGCCAAACCCAAACAATAGCAAGGCTGATTATATAACCCACTAAACTTGAAGCCTTCTTAAGAAGGGGTTTATATTATTGGATAAACTCAGGGAAGGGCATGATCTTTTTGCTAGTATCAATTTAAATAAATCAGCATTGGAAACTGCTAAACAAATCTTGATATTGTTATGTAGATTTTCTTGCCCAACAAGCACATTTTCTTTTAATTTGTTAAGTATTCTCTGACTTAGCACTACAGTAAAGTGAAGATTCATTTGCATAAGGATTCGCCTCTGGTAACTGGTGTGATTTTTTTGAAAACCTCTTTGGCTCTATTTAGGCAATCTAAGTTCCTCAGGAAGAATAATAGGAGATTCAGATAAGTATTTGACTTTACTGAATACCTATCACTGACAGCCTGCAAATCCTAAAACATGTCGCATGGATATTTTGGCCCCCAGGTGCCTTAGTGACTCCTACCTGTTGATTTTAGTCTTTGTATGAACACAGGGTCCTCTCTGCTCAGTTGACGTTAATGAATGTGAGATTTATTCCGGAACACCCTTGAGCTGCCAGAACGGAGGCACATGTACAAATACAGTGGGGAGTTACAGGTAAGCTTTCTTTTACTTTCTTTTTAATTTAAAATCAGGAGTGTTTTGGAAGAATTCAAACATTCCATATAGTTAATAGTATCCAAAATTGGTATCTCTTTGGTTGTTGTTAAGTGCCATCGTGTATAGGATTTCTGAGGTTATCAATCTTTGTGGGAGCAGAAAGCCTCATTTTTTACCCCATTAATCAGCTGGTGAGCTCAAGCCACTGACACTGTGGTTCACAGTCCAGTGTTTATCCTACAGAGCCACAGCACTCTGTAATAGCTTTATTATCAATGAAAATAGGTACCCATGGAAAATGTAGTTCTTATTTAACATATACATAGCCATTTACTTGAATGAAGAAAAGTTATCTCTCACTTAGTGAAACAATCCCATCTCTTCTGCCCTGGAGCTGCTCTGGCTGGAATGCAGAGTAAGAGGAACATGGGGCAAGATGCTGCAAGGGTCAGACCATACAGGGTTTCATGGATCAAATGGAAGAGTTGCTGTTATTGTTAAGTGCCATCCACTTGATCTAACAGTGACACTGTACAGGGTTTCCGAGAAGCACACGGTGAGTCTGAACCATCAAGTTTGTGGTTCAAACTGACCTTACGACACAGCCATTAAAGAGTTTAAGTAGACAAAAGACACCCCACCATACCAATGCACTGCTCTTGTACTCATTCCCTATATTAGCAATCTAATAAGGCAATTCCTGGGTGGCATAAACACTTAAGTGCTCCACTACAAGTAAAATAAAACTGGTGATTTCAGCCTACCCAGAGGTTCCTTGGAGTCCTGGTGTGGTGCTGTGGGTTAATGTACTGGACTGTAAGGTTGGTTGGAACTGCAAGGTTGGCAGTTCAAGCTTTACCAGCCACTCCTTGGAAACCCAATACAGGGTTGCTGTGAGTCGGAAATGACGTCAGCAGCGCTTAAACAACAACAGTAAGAGGTGCCTTGGAAAACAGGTCCTGCAGCCCTAAAAATCCAATCGGGACATTCTACTCTGGACACACAGGGTCACCATGAGTTGGAATTGACTTGATGGCAGCTAACAACAACCATGCTATTAGTACGGATAGTTTCATCCAAGCTCCATGTAAAATGATCACCATGTCAAGGTTAAAGATTGAACTGAGGCGCTCCTCAGTTAACCCTCATTGCATTTCCATTAACTGCAAGACTCCATATCATAATCATTATGCAGCTCATACCTTTCCTTCTGATCTACTTTGTCCAAATGACTTGCCCACATTCGCCTGCTGGACTCAAGTCTTGTCATCATCAGGAAACCTCCTCTGATGTCTTAGATTGAGTTCGTCATCAAATGGCTTTGTGATTCCATCCTATTCCAGGAATTGTTGTTAAGTGCTGTCGAGTTAGTTCCGACCCATAGGGAACCTGTATAGAGTTTCTGAGAAGCAGCTGGTGGGTTTGAGCTGCTTGCCTTACAGTTAGCCATCTAGTGATGTAGTGCCATACCCAGACTTCATTGGTGGTGGTGGTTGTGTACCATCAAGTCAGTTCTGACTCATAGTGACCCTGTATGGGATTCTGATGTTGTAAATCTTTTCAGGAGCACAAAGTCTCATCTTTCTCCTGCAGAGCAACTGGTAGATTCAAACTGCTGACCCTGTGGTTAGCAGCCCATCTTGTAATCCACTATACCTCCAGAGCTAGTTCACAAATTATCTTTTTAATAATCAAGTCTAAACTTTTATGGTAGATCCATGTCAAACTTACTATTGTATGGCTCCTTAAAATCACTTTAAAAAAAAGTTCTTTCCACATTTTTGACTGATCTTCTATATCTATGATTATTAAGAGACTGTTGTTATTGTTGTTGTTAAGTGCTGTTGTGTGGGTTCCAACTCATAATGACCCTGTATAGGGTTTCCGAGAAGTGACTGGTGGGTATGAACCACTGACCTTGCAGTTAGCAGTCCAGTGCTTATTCTACAGTGTCACATCAGGACTCCATTAAAAGATTGCGATATTGATTTTTTTTTAATGACATGAATAAATTCTTTAACTACTCTGGGGAATCATTTCAGTAGATCAAAGAAGAATTATTTGCTCACTATTGTCTCTCCTATCTTGTTCTTCAATTTCCTTGCAACAATATTAGTCCATTCTATTTTCTCCAGAAAGAGTGAGTGTAGTAATTTTCTTTTTTCCCATCACCTGCCAACACACTAAATCAGTCACAATCTTTTCTTCATATTTTTTTCTTTTTTCATATTTATTGTTCTTTTTTTATTCTCTTGATCTAATCTGAAAATTTTTACTCACTCCAGGTTATAATTTTATATTATTCAATTCTGGTAGGTATGTCTTTGAGTTTAAACTGTGTGCAAAACTAAAATTAACCAGCTATGTCTCAAATGTACTTTTTTTTAAAGTTTTTATCGTGAATTATGTGTTAGTTTACATGGGTGAACATTATCTTTACATTCATCCTATTCTATTTTGTTTCATTGTAATGATCACAATCCCCTGCATGCATCATTAAACAACCAAAGGGTACACCCCACACTCCTACTCCCAGGCCGCCAGCATACAACCCCTCTCCCTCCCTGAGTCCAGAGTCCCCAGCCGCTCCTTCTGTTCAGGTCATTGCCTCTGCCTCCATCCCTAGTGTTACTGCCTCTCTAGACATGGTCTCTTGCACTTCACTTTTCTCCCTTGATGGTTCCAGGCATCTCAGCTCCTGGACTGAAGAATTAGCGACTCCCCTCCTTTTGTTACCTCAAATTTTATGTTATCAAAGAGGCTATAGATTTCAGAACTTTTTCATGTAAATAACACCTCTTTCTTTTATTTTTAAAATATTCTGGTTTGGGCTGGGTCTAGAATGTAGTCCTAATCTTTGATTCCCCTGAAAGCATTATCTCCTGATTCCTGTTTATGGATATTTATCAATAAAGATTACTACTTGAAGATTTGTTGTTGTTGTTAAGTGCCGTCGAGTCGTATCTGACCCATAGCGACCCTGAACAGGGTTTCCAAGGCTGTAAATCTTTACGGGAGCAGAAAGCCTCATCTTTCTCCCGCGGAGCAGCTGGTAGTGGTAAAATGCCCTGGCTCTTAATCTCTTATTTTGGACCTTCCAAGACTCTAGGACTATTGTAGAGATTAGATCTCACTTCTGTTTCACTCTTGGTTTTTCTTAATTAGTACAGTATTTAGGCCCCTTCAGCCTTGAACCCACATGGGTTCTTGTAACTCAACAACATAACAAAGATGTTTCATACCCCAACCTAAAATTTTATTGTTTCTCTTCTTTTCTGTTTTTTTCTCTAGCACATTATTTGCCCCATGTAAACTGGAAAAAACAAAACAAAACAAAAAAACAACCAAAAATCCAACATAACCCCCATAATTTGCTGCATGTGGGTGAGCTAGAGTTGTCTTTATCCACATAACAAATCATTCCTTTTGTATCCAGCGACAGACAGGACTTTGTGTTTCTAAGACTGAAATTTTAAGAAAGCAAAGTTATGCTATATATATTTATGCACAAGAATTATTACTTGGAGCTATCAGTGGCAATACGTCTGGCTTCTAGATCTTATATTTTCTGGCCTTTCCAGTCTCTGTTGTGGTTGTTAACTGAGTCAGTTCTGATTAATAGTGACTTTGTGTAGAGTTCAGTCCAGTGTTTATCCTACAGTGTCACACCAGTTCTAGGAACTATGTATCTATACAAGGGGCCTTTGAAATATTAGTGGAAAAATGGAATTAAAAGATAAGAGGATTTTTCTATGTACTTTTTTGAACACCCTCCTGTATGTCAGATAACAAGAGAGAAAGAACAATAGAAAATTTAAACACAAACACACACACAATTGCTTTCAAGAGATTCTGAGGAATAATGGTCCCATGTCTATATCAGAGTAGAACTGCATTGCACAGGATTTTCACCAGGACTTTCATGTGAGGTGCCTCAGAATGGGTTCAAACTGCCAATCTTTCAGTTAGTAGCCTAGCACTTAACAATTTGTGCCATCCAGGCACTCCTGAGCAAGAGAGGAAAACAAGCAGCAACATTTCATTGGAGATGAAGATGGAGATTGGGAGATGACTACAGGACAGATTCAACTTTGTGATGGCAATACTGAATTCTTTCTTGTATTGTTGTTGTGTATGGTGTGAGTTGATTCTAACTCACAGTGACCCTATAGGTTAGGGTAGAACTGTCCCATAGAGTTAACAAGTTTGTAAATCTTTACAGAAGCAGACTGACATCTTTCTCCCATTGTGGGTTTGAACTGCTGACTTTTTGGTTAGCTGTCAAGTGCTTAATTATGGTACCACCAGGGCTCCCTTTCTTATAAAAGGAAAGCTTCAGACTTGTGCCGATTCTAGAAATAATTTTAATTTTGATTTTCTACTCTACCCTTTAAAGATTTATTGGAGGACATTCATGAATGGAGCATTTGAATTCAAGTTTCCCATCTTGGAATGGGAATAGTTTATGAAGTTTTGTGAATCCCAGTTGATTATCTATGCCTCAGTACCCTAATTTGAATATGTGGTAAAGGGGGAGTTTTTAAATTAATGGAAGAAGATAGAAAAATGTATTTGAGCATAAGATTAAATTCATGCACTGTGAAATCTGTGTATTATCAAAGAGTGAACATTTAGATACTTTCTTGGATTCTATTAATAATGTGAGGTCAAATCCTTGTTAATCAGTAACTTCCCTGAGCCTAGAAATACTTTTAAGAACCTCAACAGACATCTGCTAAAGGGAGATTTGAGCCACTTGAATAATCTGGACTCATAGAAATACTGTCATAATGAGCAGTTTACTTTGAATTTGGGCCTCCTTTAACTCTCTAAGGAGACCTGATGGTGTGGATTATGCATTGGGCTGCTAACCACAAGGTTGGTGGTTCAAACCCACCAGAAGCTTTGCAGTAGACAGATCAAGCTGTCTGCTTCTATAAAGATGTACAGACTCAGAAACCCTAAGGAGAAGCTCTGTGCTATCCTATGGGTCACTGTAATTCAGAATCAAGTCTGCAGCAGCAGGTTTGGTTTGGGTTTGGTTTGAACACTTTTGTACCATCTACTTATGGGAAGACCAGGGAGATGAAAGTCTTTATTTTAATAGGATTATATTTCATAATTGTAAAGATATCTGAAAAGTTAAAAGCACTATCTATGCAAATACTATTTGGAAGCCTTCAGAAGTCTTCATAAGAAATTTCTGATGAATTTTTTTTTCTTTCAGAGTAATGAAAGCAGAGCAAGAAAAGTTATTTTATGTTGCCACTGACTCTTTCTTGTCTCTGATTGTGTCAGAGAACTAGCAGAATGAATAGTTCTCCTATGCTGCTCTGAGGACTAAATTCTTATTGTTGTCCTGCTTACTTTGGTTGTAAGACATCTCATGGGACCTGTGTACTTACAGCACAGATCTAAGGTTTTTAGGAAAAAAAGAAGGGGAGTTTTAATTTTTTGTTTTCCTTCCAGGAACCCAGTGATTAGTATATAGATAAGTGTAGTGCTGCAGGTTAACCTGAGTACTGGTAGCCTGAGGTCGGCAGTTCAAACTCATCAGTGGCTGCTTGGAAACCTATAAAGGGTTTCTATGAGATGTGGTGCTGTGGTTTAATGCATTGGACTGCAAAGTTGGTTTGAATTGCAAGGTCAGCAGTTCAGACTCCCCAGCCGCTCCTTGGAAACCCTATTATACAGGATTGCTATGGCTCGGAATCGACTTGATGGCATTAACAACAATAATAACATGAGTCAAAAATGACTCAACAGCACTTAATAAAAAGTCCCTGACTTACCACATATGTGAGTTACAAGGAACCACACTTTTCGTTGTTCTTTCTTTCGTATTTGTGTTCTGTTGTGGCACTGTAGGATAAGCACTGGACTGCTAACCATAGGGTTAGCAGTTCAATCCCACCAGTTGCCCCTCAGAAACCCTATAGAGGGTTGCTAAGAATCACTAAGGGCACTTAACAATAACCTCATTGTTAGTAATATGTGTTATATACAATGTAGCTTGTGATTTGCTGATGTACATTCTCAGAGGTTCACTAGTAAGTGGTTGAACTTTATGATTTACTCATCAGAGAACTGCCCGCTATATAAGAAATCCCCAAAACCCACTGCCATCAAGTCGATTCTGGCTCATAGTGACCCCATAAGACAGAGTCGAACTGCCCTTTAGGGTTCCGAGACTGTAAATCATTTATGGAAGCCCATCACCTCATCTTTCTTCCACGGAGTAGCTGGTGGGTTCAAACTGCTGACCTGTGGTTAGCAACCCATTGTGTAAACTACCCCACCACCAGGGCTCCTTAATTTTGTAAGATAGTGGTGGTTGTGTGCCATGGAGTCGGTTCTGACTCATAGTGACCCGGTACAGGGGTCTGAGGCTATAAATCTTTACAGGAGCAGAAAGCCTCATCTTTCTCCTGCGGAACAGCTGGTAGTTTCGAACTACTGACCTTAAGGTTTGCAGCTGATTCATAACCACTATTCTACCAAAGCTACTGATAATTAAAGGTAATATTTGTTGTTGTTGTTGTTAAGTGCCATTGAGTAGGTTCCAACCCATAACGATGCTGTATAAGGTTTCCAAGGAGTGGCTGGTGAGCTTGAACCACTGACCTTGCGGTTCACACGACTTTGCAGTCTGATGCATTAGCCTACAGCGCCACACCAGGACTTATTATTAGTGAAGAAAAAAGAAGGTATGAGCTATTCAATTTAAACGAGCTCTGGTAGCATAGTGGTTACAAATTGGGCTGCGAACTGCAATGTCAGCAGTTCGAAACTACCAGCTGTTCCGTGGGAAAAAGATGGGGCTTTCTGCTCCTGTAAAGATTTACAGCCTCGGAAACCCTGTACAGGGTCGCTATGAATCGAAACCGACTCCACGGCACACAGCCATCACCATTCAATTTAAGATAGAACTGATTTATGACAGACCATTAACAACTATTTGTATTTTATTTTATGTTATTTATTTCTGTTCTTATCTCTGGTGGATTTTAAAACATGCAGAGTTTAAAGGATGAGTATAATCTGGTTTTAGCTCGGTGGTGGTTAGTTATTAAGTCTTACCTCTTCCAATATGTCAGTTATACTAATATTGAACCCTGGACTGCAACAAGTTAAACTATGACTATGGAAGTCTGTTTGACCTATTCTCAATTGCCAAATGCACTTGCAGTGTTTTGGAGACTTAAAAGCCCTACTTTGTTTTGCTAGAACCAGACCAGCAATAGAAAGTCTCTTTGGCTTCTGTTAAATTGGTAACTAATAAAAAACACTTAATTTTTAAGAATAAAACATAAATTTTATTTTCATTTGGAACAATACATAATGAATTATGTTTTTATTTAAAAAGGGCCTATCAAGAAGACCCCTTGAGAATATATTTTGCATGCAAGTGCTGTCATGCTAAAAAAAAAAAACCACCTCCTCAGTCTTCATAATAATTCTACCATTCAGAGCAGGAGTGCAAGTGGAAAAACAAAAGGGGCAACAGAGACCTGGGTTTTAATTACTCTACTGATAACTTTTAATTGTGTGGCCTTGAGTAATATGAGTGTGCTCTGAAAAAATGGGACTTATAATATTTATCTTTGAGGATTATTGCTAGGAAACCTATCATATTCTTGACTTCCTTTCTCCCTTCCTCTTCTCATATTATGTAAAATAAAAGAAGTGTACCTTGTAACTGTTTAGAGGATTGTTGTTGTTGTTAGGTGCCATCCAGCGAGTTGGTACCGACTCATAGCGACCTTATGCACAGCAGAAGGAAACACTGCCCGATAGTGTAAGATTAAAGTCTACTTATCTCTGAGTGGCAATAGCAAGGGAGAAGAAAGAGAGATAAAAAGAGAATTTGACTACAGCAGATCCTTAAGCCAGAATCTCCATTGAAATCTGAAGTCATTTTCCAATAGTAAAGTGATTAGTGATAAGATAAACACAATTACCTGAGCACTTCCTGCAGAAGACTGTCTTTGGATCTCAATATGAAAATAGTGGTTGTTTTGAGTTATCCTACCTATGTGAAGGAACTTGAAGCAATGAAGCCACCTGAGTCATATCCTCAAATATGTATTTGAAATGCTCTAACATTCTATAGCCTCCAAGGGTCTAATTAAATTATCTGAAAGAATGTTCCTTGTTGTCTTGCTGGGCGGTGCTAGAGGAAAGGGAACAGAATGTGAGAGTGAATGTGAAAAGAGAAAGAGTGAAGTTATATAGCCTCCAAGGGTCTAATTAAATTATCTGAAAGAATATTCCTGATTGAGGTGAGGTGTAGGGGGAAGAAGAGGAAAGGGAACAGAATATGAGAGTGAATGTGAAAAGAGAAAGAGAGGAAGAGAAATAGCTTACGGATGAATAATTAAATTTCTCCTTAAGTTTAATAATTTATTTGCATTCATTTATGACATTATCTTAATGAGACGGAACCTTGACAATGTCTTAATGAGGAGGCTGAGAGATGTAATTTAGTAATAAAACAGATTTTTCATAATTATGTATTAAGCTGTGTATTGCATGGGACATGAAAAAGAACATTCATTAATCTGAAATCAAATTTAAATGTGTTTGTGAGATATACAATTCTAGAGGGCATTTGGGAATTTATCACTATAGTCTTAAGTCTCCTGTGATGACTCAAGGTTTCAGTTAGATGAACAATGAATGTCATTGCTGATCACTTTTTACCTCCCTGATCTAATGCCATCACTTTTAAAAGTTCACTTAAGACCTCATAAAGGGGTTTATGGCAATCCTTCCTTGAGCAAGTCTGTCGGTACTTATTTTCCAATATCGTGCGTTCACTTTGCGTCTGTGTGTCACATGTCAGTAATTCTCAGAATGTTTTAGACTCTTTCATATTGCTATTGCACACTTAATAAATAGCAGTAGCATGTAAGCATAACTTTTATATGCATTGGGAAATAAAAAAGCTCCGTGTGACTTACTTTATTGAGATACTCACTACTGAGGTGATCCGAAACCAAACCCAAAATATCTCTGAGGTATCCTGCATCTGAAAAGATAGCATATTTACTTCACAACATGAAGCACAGCAAAATGATTGTCTTCCAAGACTCCAGCCTGTAGATCTACATTGCTGATGTATGTGACATTGCTGGTTTGCAATCTGAATTAGTTTGTGTATTGATGCTAAACAGCAGCCCAAGTTCTGACATTGTCTAATTATGTGACCAACAGTTGTAGCTGCTCACCTGATACATATGGACCCCAGTGTGCTTCCAAATACAATGACTGTGAAGGGGGATCTAAGGTGCGCTGTGTCCATGGATTCTGCGAGGACTCAGTCCGAGAGCAGGCCGGAGAGGTGGGTTCTTTCCCCCAAAGCAGCTCATAGTAGGGGGCCAAGGGTTTTAATGCTTCATCCTGTGTCGATTGTTCTGCAACTTACGGTAAGGTTCTGTCCCAATGAGTCTGTCAAAAGTCAGTTCTGAGGTAGATGGTATCTTTATAAATCAACCTTTGTCTTCGGGTGTTGGAGACATTGCATGTACACTTACAGAAAATGATAACACCAGCAAATTACACACTATAGCACTGTTTTTAGTGCATGTTATCAACAATGTTGTTATTGTTAAGTGCTGTCGAGTTGGTTCTGATTCATAGCAACCCTATAAAGGTTTCCAAGGAGTAGTTGGTGAGCTAAAACTACTGACCTTGCAGTTCAAACCCACCTTGCAGTCCAAAAAAGAAAACGGACTGTCCTAAGTGTCATTTGTCATAAGTCAAATATGTCATAAGTTGTATAATCATTACTATCCCTTGCCATTGCAAAGGTGAAAACTCACTAACACCCATAAGCAGGGCACAACAGAAGAGAGGAGATAAGAGTTATACATAAAGAACCAGAAAGATAAACCCAAAGCTTAAGATCTGATTATATAAATATAAATACTGCCGCATTTAGTAAGGATCTTTGGTAGCATAGTGATTATGGGTCAGACTGCTAACCTCAAGGTCGGCAGTTCAAAACTACCAGTTGTTCTGTAGGAGAAAGATGAGGCTTTTTGCTTCCGCAAAGATTTACAGCCTCACAGTGAGTCAGAACTGATTCCACGGCATACTACCACCACCACCATATTTACTATTTTTCATGTATACTATTTATGAGATATGCCTTCTTTTAACTTTCTGAGGTTTAGCAAGTAAGACACGAAAATGGGAAGACCCAGTCTTGTTAATACAGTTTTAAGGAGTCTGGAGTTTTTCTGGTCCCTGGACACCTGTGTGGCCTGCAGGAACTATGTTGTTGTTGTTAAGTGCTGTCTAGTTGGTTCCGACCCATAGCAACCCTGTACAGGGTTTCTGAGGCTGTAAATCTTGACGGGAGCATAAAGCCTCATCTTTCTCACGCGAAACAGCTGATAGTTTCTAACTGCTGACCTTAAGGTTCGCAGCCTGATTCGTAACCACTACGCTACCAGAGCTCCTTAGCATCCTTGATATTCTGTTTCCTCACAATCTTGACTCCTGACACTGAAGGTGTCCCAACTCCTGCACACTTGGCCCTGCCTAAGACCTTCTTATGTTCTGTGAGTTGTTGTTGTTTTTTTCTCCTTATCTGATGGAAAATGGTTCCAGTGACAAGGGTGGGTTGGGGGAGAGGAGAGACTTTCAAAAAAGAAAATAATAGAATTGATTCTTCCAAGGTCAGTGTCTAAAAACACAGCAGGCTGAGTTGATTGACTTTAATTATATTGACGTAGCGTTCTTGATTGTTGTTGCTCTTTCCCTGGCATCGCTGGGGCAAATTATAGGGTTCTCTTATTCTGAAATAAGGATGCTGCCCATTTTGCCTAGTCTTGTGCAAATGCTTAATCATATGGGAAGAAAAAGAGAATCCACTCAATTGGTCTCACGGAAATGAATGCCAGAGAATAAACAGTTTGGATTTTGGTGAGATTTTCAAAGGCTTTTTAATTTTGCTGCTTCTGGCTCATTTTCCTGATTGTTTATATCCTTGCTGCTGTCTTTCTGCCAGCCCAAGTACAGCTGCATGTGCGATGCTGGATGGAAATCTCCGCCAAACAGCCCTGCCTGCACGCTGGATATCGATGAGTGCAGCCTCCAGCCTGCGCCTTGTGACTCACTTGTACAGTGTTTCAACACTCCAGGGTCCTTTTATTGTGGGGCCTGTCCATCAGGTAGGTGGGCTCATTCACTCCAGGCGGAGTCGCTGTTCTCAGCGCCATGGGCCAGGTCCTCAGACTCTGCATGCCAGGCAGGCAAGGTGCCAGAACCAATTTCCTTCCACTACCAATTACTGATAACACTAGGAGGTGTTCAAATCCAGTTTCATGTCCTGTTTCATTTACTTAAGGCTTACAGAGATTAATTAACTTGCCCTAGATCACATTGCTAATGAGTAACCGGATCTAACTGTTGTAACAATTTAATAACAAAAGTGAGAGATTTGTTTGAAATAAAGACAGACTGTTACAGCCAAACTTGGAGTTAGGGTTGACCACTGAATTTGTGAAGTCAAACATTTCATTGCTATTACTGTCGAGTGACTAGAGTGGAGATCTGATGGCTTGTCCTCTAGTCCTACATTTCATATGAATGGTTATTTGTAAACTTGGGTGAATTGTTTGATCTATTAGTGTTTCCAATAGAGTCCAGGAGTTCTCACCTGGTTGTGAGCATTAGAATAGTATGACCTTGTTGTAAATCGTGTTTACAATGGTTTCATCACAGACCTGCAGAGACTGAACCTCCAGGAAAGGCTGAGTCTATGTGCTGCCTCTGAAAATATGGACTCTGGATTCAGAACCAGTCTGGGTTTAGAATCCAAACTTTATCCCTTACTATGCATGGTTGTCATAAGGAGCTCTGGTAGCGTAGTGGTTACAAATCAGGCTGCGAACTTCAAGGTCAGAATTTCAATACTAGCTGTTCCGCAGAAGAAAGATGAGGCTTTCTTCTTCTGTAAAGATTTACAGCCTCGAAAACCCTATACCGGGTCGCTATGAGACTCCGCGGCATGTAACCACCACCATCATGCGTGATTGTCTGTCTTTAAGCACATACTTGCAGAGCACCTGGTGGTGGTGGTTGTGATGTGCCGTGGAGAAGGTTCCAACTCATAGCGACCCCTTACAGAGTTACCAAGGCTGTAAATCTTTACGGGAGCAGAAAGCCTCATCTTTCTCCCATGGAACAGCTGGTAGTTTTGAACTGCTGAACTTGAGGTTAGTTGCCCAACTCGTAGCCACTAGGCTACCAGAGCTCCTTTGCAGCACACCTACTGGGAGTACAAAGCTGTGCTGAGTGCAATGATTAGGCAATGAGCAAGGCATGGACTATGACCTCAGAGTTATGCAGAGTTTACAAGGCCTGCCTACATTCTCTGGGCGTTCTTAGAAAGTAGAGTGCAAAGACAATATAAGAATAACAGCTACTCATTTATGGAGGCCTGGTGTGGCGCTGTAGGCTAATGTGTCAGACTGCAAAGTCGTTTGAACTACAAGGTTGGTGGTTCAAGCTCACCAGCTGCTCCTTGGAAACCCTATACAGGGTTGCTATGGGTCGGAATCAACTCGACAACACTTAACAGCAACAACAACAACAACAATTTATGAAAGGAGCCCTGGTGAGCTACTAACCTCAAGGTCAGCAGTTCAAATCCATCAATTTTTCACGGAGAAAGATCAGGCTTTCTCCTCCCCTAAAGATTTACAGCCTTGAAAACCCTATATAGGGTCACTATGAGTGGGAACTGAATCGACGGCACATAACCACCACCATCCACCACTTTTGTATGACAATGTCATTAAGCACTGTGCTGGGCATATTCTATTGCAGTTCTTGAAATGGCAAGAATGATAGGAATTGTTATTATTTCCATTTCAAACATTAGAACTAGAGGCTTAAAGAGGTAACAAAGCTTTTAAGTTGCCAGGATTCAAACCCAGGTCTGCCTGACTTTGGGGTCCGAGCTGAACTGCGGAGTACTCCAATACTGCCAAAGAACCCCACACAACTATTGCTCCACTTAGAGAGTTTATTGGTTTACTTCATGTTTGTAAGTTTAGAGCTAGTAAAACTAGAAAAAATGGAAAAAGCAAGTAAAGATTTTTTTTCTCTCCTAGTTCTCAGAGGCAAGTTAAATTTGCAAATAATATGCTTGAAGGTAATTTGCCAGTGATAATCTTTCCAAACTCAGAAAAACAAATTGTTTAAGTTATAGGATGTGCAATGTATTTTGAAGTTCTTTTTTGTTGGAGAGACAAAAGATAAAGACTTTTCTTCCATTAATCATATTTTCTCTAAATAGCAAATTAATATATACAACTATAAAACACAAAGAAACTGCAAAAAATATGAAAAAACAGAAAAAAAAATACCTTCAGTTATGTGACTCAGAGGACCTCCATTAACGTTGGTGTCCGTTTCCTTCCAAATTCATTTTTTCTTTCTGTGCACTCATTTCTTCATTTCGTTCTTGTTAAGTGCATCTAGTTGGTTCTGACTCATAGCAACCCTGTATAGGGTTTCTGAGGAGTGGTTGGTGAATTTGAATGACCAACCTTGTGGTTCAAACCAACCTTGTGATCCACCGCTTATCCACCAGCTCCACACCACATGGGATAATCATAGGTTCCTAGAGAGAAACTCCATTTAGACTAAAGGATGTAAATTTTATAGGCTTTAATAGATTTTAACTACTGTGATCATAATGACTCTGATTTGCATTATAAGAGAAATATAAGCTCATTTAAACAAATTTAATAAAACAGAAATATCTGAAGTATAATGATATTTTCTTCCTTCGTGGCTATTCTCACCCTCCTAATGAGAACACTGTTAGGAGGTGATCCTTTCTCTTCTTCCTCTTCCCTTGCTCATACAAACACAGAAACACTTGTACAGGTTTTGTAAAAATCGGGGTCATACTTGACATATTTTTCTAAAATTTGGCATTTTCAATTAAAATATATATGGAAAATTCTTTCGATGTATGTGTGAGAGACCATGTATGTGTGCATGGTATTAAAATACATTTTAGTATTCAGGGTTATAGATGTAATATAATGTGTTAAACTATGACCCTATTGACTATTGAGGTGTTCTTTTGTTTGTTTTAGTTTCCCCCCTATTAAACACTGCTGCAAAAAATAGCCTACTACCTATATCTTTGTATTTGGTAGTTTTATGCGTGCAGAGAAGGTTTCAGAAAGTAGGCTTGATAATCACAGAGTATGTATTTAGAAATTTTATTGTATACTGCCATATCTCTTTCCAAATAAGCTATTAAACTTTAATATCTAAGTGGTTATAAGAGTACCACTTTTTTTTTTTTACTACCAAGAACTGGATCCTAAAAATTATTACTTTATTATTATTATTCATTTTAATCTATAATTCCTTGAGTTGAGCAGACTTTTATATGTTTTTGAATTGTTGTATGATTATTTGAATTTCTTTGTTTTTTTGACTTGTTTATAGAGCTAATCTTTCAGATGTTTTTATTTTTCCAGGCTGGCAAGGGAATGGATACAATTGCCAAGATATCAATGAATGTGAGATGAATAATGGGGGCTGTTCTGAGGTCCCACCTGTTGAGTGTGTGAATACACCTGGATCTTACCACTGTAAGGCCTGTCCACCAGGTACTGCACCACATTTCCCAGGATTTCTAAAGATAACATACATTTGAGAAACAGGTTTTTGTGCTCTATTTCAAATATGATTCCTGTCTATGGAAAGAAACTGACTTGGGAAGAGATTTGGACTGAATTTATGTTACAGGGTACATTAATATGGTTAGGGTCTAAATAAGAAATGAAAAAAATTAACAACAATATTAATGGAAAGCCATAACCTGTTTTGAAAATTTTGAAAGCGCTAACTTAGATAATGCAAAATTTGAAAAATTTTCTGTTTACTGATCTACTGCTACATTATTACCATAAATAATTTATTTATCTAGTGCACCCTTGAGATAGTTTACATGTAAAGTTTATTAAATAAAAGTTATGCCAGTAAGCATAAAAAACATGTTCATTTCCCTTCTCTTACTGAATGAAATCATTATTGCTATTTTCTAATACAAATTGAGTTGCTATCTAAGAAGTTCAGAGAGTTCAAAGGTATAAACTGAGACTCTGTATGCTTTAATAACAACAGTACTTTGGATTTCTTTCTATAGCAATTTAGCTCTAGGAATATCAGTCACTGTAATTAAAAAATGTTAAGTTCTTTAGAGTCAGCACTTTCTATGTCTACCCATACAGTTTTAGTTAATCTTTTTTTCATGAGAAACAATCCTGATCATTATGTCAGTAACAAAAGTTGAGGCTTGAATTTTTTCTTTAGTTCCCCCAGCTTGAGAAATGCTGAGCGTGTTCTTCCTTTTTGGTTTTCTGATTCCAGATCTTTGCACATTTTGTTGTAATATTTGGCTTTATCTTCTCAAGCTGATCTTTGAAATTTTCTGTTCAGCTCTTGGACCTCCTCATTTCTTCTATTTGCTTTAGCATCTCTACGCTGGAGAGCAAGTTTCAGTGTCTCTTCTAACATCCATTTTGACTTTTTCCTTCTTTCTTGTCTTCTCAATGACGTTTTGCTTTCTTCATGTATGATGTTCTTGATGTCATCCCAGAACTTGTCTGGTCTTTGTTCTTTAGGGTTTAATGTATCAAATCTGTTATTCAGATGATCTCTAAATTTAGGTGGGATGTATTCAAGGTCGTTTTTTGACTCTCGTGGACTTGTTTTCATTTTCTTCAGCTTCAGTTTGAATTTGCATATGAGTAATTGATGGTCTGTTCCCCAGTCTGCTACTGGCCTTGTTTTTACTGATGATATGGAGCTTTTCCATCTTCTCTTTCCACTTTTACTGATGATATGGAGCTTTTCCATCTTCTCTTTCCACAGATGTAGTCAATTTGATTTCTATGTTTTCCATCTGGCGAGGTCCATGTGGATAGTCGTCTGTCTAAAGAAGGTATTTGAAATGAACAAATCATTGGTTTTGCAGAAATCTATCATACGTTCTCCAGCATTATTTCTATCACCAAGGCCATGTTTTCCAACTACTGATCCTTCCTCTTTGCTCCCAACCTTCGCATTCCAATCACCACTAATGCTCAGTACCTCTTGATTGCATGTTTGATCAATTTCAGATTGAAGAAGTTGGTAGAATTCTTCTATTTCATCCTCACTGGCTTCAGTGTTTGGTACGTAAATTTGAATAATAGCGGTATTAACTGGGCTTCCCTGTAGGCACGTGGATATTATCCTATCACAGATAGCGTTGTACCTTATGACTGATCTGGATATGTTCTTTTTGATCTGGATATGTCATTCCCGGCATAGTGAACCATGTGGTTATCAGATTCAAAATGGCTAATTTCAGCTCACTAATGCCTAAGGTATCGATGTTTATGTGTTCCATTTCATTTTTGCCAACTTCCAGTTTTCCCAGATACATGCTTTGTACATTCCACGTTCCGATTTTCAGTGGATGTTTACAGCTGTTTTTCTTCATTTTGAGTTGTGCCCCATCAGCACATGAAGATCCTGTGGGCTTTTCTCCCACGAGCTTTACTCCTTTTTTGTTATCATGGTCAACTCTACTTTGAGGAGGCAGCTCTTCCCCAGTTGCATTTTGAGTGCCTTCCAAAAGGGGCTCATTTTCTGGCACTATATCTGACAGTGCTTTTCTGCTATTCATAAGGTTTTCAGTGACTAAAGATTTGGAAGTAGTTCGTCACTCTTTCTTCCTAGTCTGTCTTTGTTTGGAAGCTCATCTGAAACCTGTCCACCATGGGTGACCCTGCTGGTTATTTAAAATACTGTTGGCATAGCTTTCAGAATCATATCAACTCATAAGCCACCATAGTATGGCAAACTGACAGACAAGTGGTGACCGTTTGGTTTTAAGTGAAAACTGTCACTTTAAATTTTGAGGAGATCTGTGTGCATGCGTAATAGAACCCTCTGGGGGTGGGGTATCCATTTGCTCAAGCATCACCTCTAGTCACCAGAATGGAGGTGCGCAGACAGTGAGAGACCAATGAACAGATATCAAAAAAAGAATGTCCACACCTGTATCTCCATGGTTCTGGCAGGCATTCGTGGCTGTTCTGTCCCCCACCCCCGCCCCCCCATAGTCTCTCCCAAAATGGCAGCTCCGGGAATAGCTGAGCGTCTTGAATTAGAAAGCAATGGATTTCTTGATTCTGCTATAAATTCCCCTAGCTGTAAGCCTTTTAATCTTCTAAATATTGTTATTCAGTAGGGAAATTTAATATGTTTATGTGACTTTATATTTATATTTTCTATTTTGATGAAGAGGATATCTGGTTTGTTTGATGCATGCTATTTGATTCTCAGATTGGTTCTCCTTCTTACATATTATTGACATTGTTCCTCATTGCTTCTGTTCTTACTTGGATTAGGATACCAGGGCAATGGGAGAGTGTGCACCCTGATTGACATCTGCTCGGTCAACAATGGAGGCTGTCACCCACATGCTTCATGCTCCTCGGTTCTAGGTAACACGCATTACTCCTCTGGTTTAAGCTATTTTAGTATGACCTTCTAGAACAAATCAGTTTTAAAAATATAATTTTCTATCCTCAAAGTTCTTTTTTTGATCTTCAAGCAAAAAGTTAACACTTGTGTCCTGATATGGCAATGTAGGATAAGCAGTGGACTGAAACCACAAGGTCAGAAGTCCAAACCCACCAGTGGCTCCTTGGAAACCCTCTTCAGAGTTGCTATGAGTTGGAGCCTACACGAGGGCACTTAATAACAAGAATGAATTGGAAAGGACTCAGTGGCACTTAACAATAACATATATTTATACATTTAGATAATTTTATAAAAAATAGGAATTAATAGGAATTAAGGAATTATTCCACAAAGTTATTTTTGTTGATATTAAAAGTGCTGTTCAGTTGATTCAGACTCAAAATGACTCTGTATAGGATTTCCAAGGAATGGCTGGTGAGTTTGAACCACTGACCTTGCGATTCAAAGTGTCCTCAAGATCTAGTGCATTATCCTGTATCATCCACACCAGAACTTCAGAAAGTAATTAGACTTGTTAATGTTATTAACTTATGAGTGTATTTTTTGGCAAGTAGGAATGAAAAAGGGAGGATGAATGAAATGCTACTTCCCTTTAAAGATGCTTCCATTTTGGTGCCACTTGCCAGAACTAAGTCACATGGGGAGACCGGGAAATGTAGTCTTTTTCCAGGAAACAAAGTATCAAACTAAAAATATGGAATTGTTGATGTTGTTAGTTGTTGTGGAGTTGGTGCCACTGCTAAAATAAGAGAAAAATGGATCAGGGTGAAAACTGGCAGTGTCTGCAACATTGTGTAGAAAGGGACTTACCATCTAGTTTTTTTTTTTTTTTTTTAATATGTTGGTAATTTTTCTTCCAAAAATGTTATATAAATTTTTATGATTGCTAATTGACAGCACTTAACAACAACAACAACAGTATATAAAACTATTATTTTATTTCACCCATGGAAAATAAAGAATACTATTTTTTTTTTGGCAAACTTTATAAGCAAAAAGTTGTTTCCCATGATTTAATTTATACTTTTAGAAGACTACTGATTGGTAATGAATCTTTTCACATTGTTGGCCATTGTTTGTTTTTCAATTTGTTAATGTTCTTTGCTCATTTTTATTGGTTAATCTCTAAATGGTTTGCAAAATTTCCTTCTATAACATTAACACATTATCTGTCATATGTTTTACATGTATTTTTACTGGCATGTAGTTTTTCTTTTAATTTTGTAGTGGTGTTTATCATTTAAAAGTTCAAATTTTCAATGTAATTATAAAAAACAATTTTTCTTTTCTGTTTTCTCTCTTCAGTGTTATAATTTAAAGACTTTCTCTATTGAATACTTTTTTAAAGAATCAAATACATTTCTTTTATACTTTTATGGTATTATTATTATTATTATTTTCCTTTTATTGTTGTTTATTGGTCCAATAGTGAAGATTTTTTTTTCTTGTGTTATTGTGAATTATATGATATTTTACATGAGAGAACTTTGGTTTTTACATTCATTCCATTGTATATTGTCTCATTGCCATGGTTCCAATCCCCTCCATGTATCATCAACTGACCAAAGGGTATACCCTATAAACCCTCCCCCTACCCCCCCCCCCCCCCCGCCCCCCATTCTTCAGGACCCAGTCCCTCTCCCTTTCTGGATCCAAAGTCCCCAGCCACTTCATCATTCCACGTCATCGTCTCTGCCTCCATCTTGGGCCTCGCTGCTTCTCTGGGTAGGGTACCGCTCTCGGCTCTTCTCTGTTGATGATCCCAGGGACCTCCACTCCTAGACTGGAGAGTTAATAACTCCCTTCCTTGCTACAAAACGTCTACCTTTACATTTCCAACCCTCACGATCAGTCCTGATAACAGTCATTCACTAATGTATCACAAGTGACCCTTCTGCATTTCATTTCATCAGCTCCACTTAGACAGATTGGATAGTACTCACTGGAGATTCTGCTTTCCTCCATGCCCCCTAGCTCTAGGTTCCCTCTTGAAAGCTTGTAAGCCAGTTGCTTCTTGCCTTTGTGGTTCCCACTTCCCCCCTCCCCCCAATTTGGGTATCCAATGTCCAAGTTGCCCATCTCAGTCTACTCTGTGTGTGGAGGGGGTGGGAATATTTCTTGCTGTGAGGGTTTGTTCCATCTTTTGGGTTACTGCATCCATAGGTGTAGATCAAGTTCATCAAATTGTCTCAGATCACTCTTTTTTTTTTTCCCCTCTTCTTTCTTCTCCTTGTTGAGTTCTGATCATCTATTCATCAGGGCCAGGTCACATGGGTACCATCTGCAAGTGTGGGTGTTCTTGTGCGTATGCCCTCTCTTCTTATCAGCTGGTAGCTTCACTCTAGTCCTCTGTGGCCACGCCGCTGACTCTGGGCCCAGGAGTCCCCAGGTCTCCCCACGCTGCTGCTGGCCAACCAGGTTCCCATCTGGCTCCACAGAAGCCCACCGAACATTGTAGGGCTTAGATTGCCGCTTCATTGCTGATTTTACCTCACTTCCCCCTATCGGAGATGTGTGTGGTCACCAATCAGAGTGTGTATTTCCATTAAATCTTAGTCTTGGAAGGGGGGTTTGCATTAAGGGGACCCAACCACTTGCCTTGATGTTTCCTGGGCAAGCAATTTGTTTGTTCTTGTAGTAACAGTCCATCTGCCTCTATTGTTTTGTATTTTTCTTGTAGGTCTTTCTTTCAAGAAGTATCTTCTGTTCTTCTAGCCGCTCCAGGCTGCTTTGCTCATCCTTTCAAATTTCCAGAGATGGAAATTTCCCATCTCTGGAGATCTGGATGTGGTTCAGGCTTCTATCTTTAGTCTTATGTATTGCAAAGGCTCTGCAGGAAGCCTCCTTCCCTGGGCACTTTGTAGCCCCATTTTAGGTATTCCAATCAGTTATAGGCAGAAGACGGACTTACAAGCTTTCTATGGTGATGTTTCTGACTATTCCTTTCTCTCCCCCTCCGGTGTCTATTTTATATTATAATGCAAGGAAAACCAAGATTCAAAAGACTGCCAAAAAAAAACAAAAAGACTGCTGAGCATCTTAACATTGAGCATCTTAACATTATTCCCCCCTTTTCCCCATTTCAACCATGGGTCAATCTCTGTATCCCAGAGCCCTGTAGTTCCATGTTTGTGCATATATCATTCTTTATCTCTGTCCCACTTAGCCCATTCAAACATGCCTAATTGTTCTCCCATCTGCTTTGTTCTTTCGTTTCCCTCTCCCTCCTTGTATATTGCCCCCCTCCCTAGCACCCAAAGTTTCCTGTGTCTAATCCCTACCCTGTGCTCCACCTTCCTCTCCCTCCCCTCACCCACCACCGACTTCCCAGCAATCAACAAAAAATTCCCCATTATTATTATTTTTAAAACATTAAAATCTTTGATCTTTTTAGGGTTAATTTTTATCCATAGCATCTAGTAGGACTTGTTTTTCCTAAAGGAGTGGGCCCAATTACATTTATTGAGTAATATATTATATCTCTTACTATTTCAAAATACCACCTTTATTAGTTACTTATTTGCCATACACACAAGGTCCTGGTGTGGCACTATAAAGTAAGCCCTGAACTGCTAATTACAAGGTTGGCAGTTCAAACCTAACAGCGGCTCCTCATAAACCTTATACAGGGTTCCATGGCACTTAACAGCAACAGCAACAATAAACTTGAAAACATTTATTTGACATTGATCAAAGATGAAATAAAAATACATTGATAATTAATAGTGATTGAAGTGTGAAAGTTGGAAACAAATAGAAGAGAAAATATGGCCTTAGTGATAGAAATGATGCTGGAAATCACATGGTAGAATTTTGTAAGACTAATGACTTGTTCATTGCAAATTTCTTTTTCAACAACATTAATGGTGACAATACACTACATCTGTGGGAAAACACAGTGAAATAGCTCAGTATCATCAACCAAAGTAAGGTCATGGGCCAAGTGTAAAACAGACCATCAATTGCTCATGTGCAAGTTTAGTCCAAAGCTGAAGAAAATAAAAACAAGTTCATGAAAGCCAAAATATGGCCCTGAGTATATCCCACCTGAATTTAGAGACCACCTCAGCATCAGATTTGATACATTACACACTAATGACTGAAGACCAGAGGAGTTGTGTAATGGCAACAAGTATATCATCCATAAAGCAAAAAGACATTAAAAAGATAGACAAGAAAGAAAAGACCAAAGTAAATGTCAGAAGGGACTCTGAAACTTGCTCTTGAATGTAGAGTAGCTAAAGCAAATGGAAATAAAAGAGCTGAACAGAAAATGCCAAAGAGCAGCTCAAAAAGACAAGATAAAATATTATAAGTGCAAAGACTTGAAATTAGAAAACCAAGCATTAAGAACATGATCAGCAATCCCCAGGTTGAAAGAACTAAAGAAAATATTCAAACCTACAGTTGCTATATTGAAGGATTCTATGGGCAAAACATGGAACAATGCAGGAAGCATCAAAAGAAGATGGGGGAAAAAAAGAAGAAGATGGAAGGAAGATATAGTCACTGGACCAAAAAGAATTGGTCAACATTCAACCATTTCATGAAGTGGCATATGATGAAGAATATGGTACTGAAAGAAAAGTCCCAGATGCAATGAAGGCATTATTGAAAAACACAAACAAGTAAACCAAGCCCACTGCCATGGAGTGGATTTAGATTCATAATAACCCTGTATAGGGTTTCTGAAGCTATAACTCTTTCTTTGTTGATGTTTTTGCTAAGTGCTGTTGAGTCTGTTCTGACTCATAGTGACCCCTGTAAAGGGTTTCCAAGGAGTTTCTGGTGAACCTGAACCACCAACCATGCAGTCCAAACTGACCTTGCAGTCCAGCGCATTAAACCACAGTGCCACATAAGAGAGTAGAAAACTTCATCTTTCTCCTTCAGAACATCTTTGACTGGTTGACCTCGTAATTAGCAGTCCAGTGCTTATCTTACAGCATCACCAGAGTTC